TACCTTTGGGTTTCCAGTGAAAACAAAACGGCAGTCCCCATTTTGGGGCATACCCAGCTGAACATCAGAAGCGCTGCCTACGCGCACTTGCAGGGTTGGTGGAAATGACAACTTCTGTGATGTTGCTACGCCTTCAATGGGTAACTTGTCATTGACTGTAATTCCCTGCTTCGCAAGCACGAAAATTGGGGGCCGGTTTCCGGTTTGATTTTGGCTTGCCTTTGCACCGGGGGTCAAACAGCCTGCCTATGATTTGACAACCACCGGGCTCAATAATTTCTATCAATGCACTCCCATCTTCATGACTAAGGTGGTTCTAAAGTAACCCCCCATTCTAACTATCTCAAACTTTTACCACAGGGTGAATGCATTGATCGGATTGAAACGAATGCAATCCCAACAAGTCATAACTAGAAGTCATCAACCTCACGAACCACAAGTACCAGAAGTCACCCTAGAAGAATTGAAGCTTCCTGGTGGATCGCTTGGAGATATCTCCATGCAATCGGTCGGCGCCTCGTACTCCGTGCACGCCTCCCGCCCTTCGGGGCTAACTTCGCTGCGGCTGCTGTGGCTGTCCTCTTCGGGTTTTTGCAGGGCGCCGCAGTTTCTGTAGACCCAACGGCTTTCAGCTGTGGCTTCCTTTTCGGAAAACAACATGGGCTATGCACCCGAAGGATCTAGGAAGATACACCTCAGCTCTCGGAGACTTTGAAAAACCCTGCTTGATCCATCATTATATGTCAATCTCAAGTTTTACCGTCAAACAAAGGAAATGCCTTCATCATGCGAGCCTGGCCATGCTTTAATCTGAAAGCTGCTCAACTCTGCTCAATTTAAGTGTGGCGATCCTAGCCTAATATGCACTTCGACCCAACTCCTATCTTGAACTCGGTTGTTCCTCGCAAACGGTCTGATATCGTTGGCGTGTTCACCACCCGTCTCCTTGCCTGCTTGAAATAAACAGCGTGCGCCCTGAGGCATGAGGGTTCCCTGTATGTGCTGCTTTCCGTTTCTACATCCCTTCATCAACTTCATATCCTGTTGATGCCAAGTGGCTATCCCCCCAAAAAAAAATCCCGCTGAAGAGTCAAGAAACGGCAAAATCAAAAGGTATATATTTTGAGCCACGGCTTGATGGTTTCAAACGGCACCAACTGGCCTATTACCCTGAAAAAATGTGGCCATGCGGGGCCATGTCAGTGGTCATCCCATGGCTGTCAAAATAACCCAAGGGCCTTTTTGGTATCACGGAATCAGCTTCCCCCTGTTTGCAGGTTTGGATTGGTGGCTTGGAGGTTAACCAGGTTTCCCATTTAGCTTGAACAGCCAGGGCAAACAAATCCCGTCCAAGCCACCAATGGACCTGACAGAGAGTGGTCCTACACATAACTACTTCAATGACTTACTTCTCCAAAGGACCTGGAAATAACAGCTTAACCCTTTGGGACCTCCACTAAATATGGACCAACACAAGAACACCAACAGGTCAAAAGCTCGATTCGCTTTGGGCATCTGAGTTTCCTCGCGGCCATAAGTTGCGGATTTTAGTGGCGGTGTCTATTGAACCTGCCACCTTTGGGAGGTTGCAAGGGACATGGAGGAAATTCCGGCCGGTTGCCACACTGTCCAGGAGCAAGGTGCGCAGAGGTGCGCTCACGCGGCCGCGGGTGCCCACACAGCCCATAGGCAAGCCCTCACCTCGGGCTTGACGTGGCTTGACTTAAGCACAAAGGCTGTAGAGGTATCCTTCTCTTCCATGGGAAAAACAGCATAGTGATAGATTCCCTGCAAAACCAAGAGGGGCCAGAACGAAAAGTTACTGGGCAAATGGAAGCTCTCTATGACTTTTACCAATGAAGTAGAACCTCTAGGTTGCTCAGGGTTTTTGGGCGCTCTGATTCCCAAAGTGGCCACCCATATCCAACCTTCAAACCGGGCCATTTGAAGCCGTGCCCGTGGAACACTCATGAACCAGCGTTCACACAGATCTTCTCCATAAGCCCTACCAACTGATTTGGCCGGATGTTCTTCGGGCGCTTCGCGGCTGATTCCACCGCGGCACAGAGGCAAAGGTATTCCTGGCAGGGTTGGGCAAAATGTGTCAAAACAACCAGCCAATTTAAATGCAAATTAAAAGGAGGTTGTTCAAACAAAAGGGTGTGTCCTAGAATATGGGACTCCCCAACAACTGTGGTTTCCCTTTTGGTTTCCCTTTGCAACCAGGTGACAAAGGGTACCCTTGAAGTAAAACAGACGCCCAAATCAACTTTGACCAAACACGTGTTCAGCAAATTGAAACGAGACACAACACATAATTTGACCGCAAACAAAAATAAACAAGCTGAAACAAAGTACCCTTTCGTCAATTAACACGGAACCTGACAGGGGGTCCCTCTAAAAGGAAAATGGTCCAAACCAGGATCCCCCGAACGTCAGGTTCCATGTTAATTGGTGAGAGGGTAAAACTGCACTAAATGCTGGAAGCGCAAAGCTTTCATGCTAGTTGGTAGGGTAAAACCGAACCAACACTTTGGTGTGGGTCAAACATAGGTACCGCAAATGGAACCCGGGTAAATGGAAAGAAGGATTCAAACCTGCGGCCGAATTCCTGGTGCTTTGATTTTGGCCCATGCCCACTTCAACTGCCCGAAAAAAAAGCTGGGGGTCAGAACAACTTCCATGTTTGGGTAAACCTGAACCAACACTTGGAACATGCGACCAACCGTTGGTTTGCTCCCCCTCCTTGGCCACCAGCCGTGCCGCCAGCTGCGCCTGGAACCAGCGCGCTCCAAAGGACGCCTCGGCGCCCAACGCCAGCGGCAGCACGCCTCGCAGCGCCGCGGAGCGGGGCGGGGTGGCGGGTTTTTGTCTCGTAGCACCCTATCCTTAAGAAGCCGCAACCCCCCCCCACCCTTTACCCCCCCCCTGCTTTGGGCCAAATAGGTGGGAAGCTTCCCGAAAGCCTTGGGGAAGCTTCCGGAAGCCTTGCGGAAGCTTCCGGAAGCCTTAGGGAAGCTTTGGGAAAAAGGGGGGGAGATTGAAACAAGGGTGGTCCCCCCCTCCCCCCCCTTTTTCCCGAAGCTTCCGGAAGCTTCCCCAAGGCTTCCGGAAGCTTCCGCAAGGCTTCCGGAAGCTTCCGGAAGCTTCCGGAAGCCTTGCGGAAGACTTACGGACTTCTGAAGCTTCGGGGGAGCGGACGGGAAGGGCAGGGGACGGGGAAGGAAGGGGTGCGAGGGGGACGAGCATGAGCGTAGTGGTGGGTGTCATTTTCCAGGGCTTGTCGCGCCGCCAGTCAGTGGGGAACCCTTTGGGAGCCAAATGCTTTAACAGTGTTATAACACTCCACTAGCAGTGCTATAGCATGTCTCAAGGGGGGGAGGGTAAGGGAGGGGGGGTTTATGCTTTCTTAATATCCAACAAACTCATAGGCTGGAAAAATCGGACCCCAGCATATATATATATATATGTTTTTTTTGTTATTAATATTTATTTATTTATTTTTGGTTTGCCTGGTTAGTGCAAAACCAAGGGAAACCCCAAAAAACACACACAAAAAAGGAGCTAATTCTGGGGAAGTCACCTAACCACTAGTTCAGTTGGAAGTAGGTGAGTTCGAGAGCCTCGTTGGAGTTTATACCTCAACTGAACTCACCTACTTCCAACCCCACCAGCCTTCGATTGGCCAACAAGTCCATCTCAAGTCACATCCTGCATGGATTGGCCAACTTGTTCCTCCTTTGAAAAGCGCGACAAAACTCAAATTTTAGATTGGGCCAGGTCGGAAATCCTTGTCCGAACTGAACCCACCTACCAACTTCCAACCTCACCAGGCTTAGATTGGCCAACAAGTTTAAGTTTTTCATTTACCACTAAAATGGTCAAGGACCTCGGTTGACAACCGCACCAAAAGGGAAACTCAAATTTTAGATTGGCCCAGGTCGGACAAATCTTTGACAGCACCCAGCAGGAAACATAGATTAGCCCAACAAGTGATATCTTTTGCCACCAAAAGGGAACCCTGGGTCTTCTCCTCGAAATCCAGGCCGGCTTTTGGGCCCCTCGATGTATATTTGTGTGTTTGAGAGGGGCAGGCAACTTTTGGAGATGCCAAAAAGGGAAACTTCCTGTTGCCCGGCGGGTCACCAACAGAATAAGCATTGCCAGTCTTGACAACTTCCTTCTGAGACCAACAGGGAAACAAGGAAAAAACGGCAAATGGAAGGATCCCATCCCAACAAGGGACACCAAAAACCAGTTTCATGGCATCACGACTCCCTGCAATCTTTCAGCAAGGGACCCGGCCGTTTCAGCAATGACCAATATATCTACCTGCTGGAAGTCTAATGGCGCACGAGCCTCAACCCCTTCCATTCCAGCACAAGCCGAAAACTAAACAAACAAAAAACAGTAGCAGCTGCAGATGCCTTTTGGCTTCCCCTGAAACATCCCAAGGTTTCTTGGCTGGGTATGCCCTTTTTTGGTAGTTTTAAAGGAAAGCCAAAAGGAAATCTACAAGTTTGGTGCCTCCCCTTTTCAGCTTCCACCAAGAAAGGACCGCCACGTCCGACGTCCCGCGGCACATCCGTCCTGAGGTGGGGAAATCCAGGCGCGAGATCAGCGACAGCGGGCGGTGGCCCAGCCGCGCCGACAGTCGGGCGGCAAATCTCAGGGGTTGTTTCGTGTCCCAAAGGACCCAACAAAATACAGAGCCCTTTTGGGGCCTGGACTTTGACCGAGCGGGTTCGAGTGAATCACGGAGACCAAACAGTCAAAAGCTCAAAAGGTCGATTCACTTGGGCAAGGGAGAATAGGGTTTTATAGTGGTTTCAAACTCCTCATTTTCAGAAGGTGAACTGGTTGTCTGAAAGAAGTTTGGTTCAAGATTGACCGTTTGATCATTATTCCCCTTGTGTGTGGTTTGGTTGGTGGTTTGAGGGATCGGTGCTTTGCCTTTTGGTTTGCTCGATAAAGAAAAAAACAACAATTTGACACGCTTATGTTTCCACCATAAACACTTCCCCGGCAACAGGAATATCAGGCAAAATTGGTCCCACAAGTCACGTGCAAACTGGGTCAAAGGGAACCTCGGGATCCCCGAGCCACCAGCGGAGCCCAGTTTGTTGGACGAACACACCAAGGGCATTTCTCCAAACATACCCACAAGAACCAGAACAAATCCTACAGATCCTCAAGCCGCTTTTGTCTTTTCCCACCTTCCCATTGGCTTTGAAAGGGACCAACGGTTTTGACGGAACCCCTTCGCCTCTCTGTGGAGATGCCTTCAGGCTTGTTGGCCACCAAGATCCCCTTGCCTGGCTTTCCGGGTCCCGGGTCCGCCCGTGCCGGGATTTGAGACTCCCGGTTTGGATGGCCTTGGGCCCTTTCCACGGCCCAATTTTTGGGGGCTGAATCTCAGAAGCCCGGAACAGAAAAAGCCTCCCTCTTCTCGTTGCTTGAGTCTAACTCCTGGGCTGTCCTCAGATCTTCTGCTGAAAGTTTAACGTTTGGTGGGTTACATGGGCACTACCACTAAACCATAAAAGTTTATCATAAAAGCCTAAAAAGCTAAGGAACCGGACGGCTGGGGGCCACCAAGGGACGGGAACTTCCCAAAAAAGAAACACAGGGTGCCAGAGGGCATAGCGAGGGCCCCTTCGCTTTAGGGAAAGAGGTACAGCCTCGCATGGCAAGCAGGCAATACCATCTGCACGCATTGCTCGAGGGTGTGTGCCTTGGTCGAGGGTGTGTGCCCTTTTGCTGAGTGGTTCTGAAGCGAACGCCAGAGGGGCACTCTCTTTTGGGTACACCTACAATTCAACCAGAGGAGCCTCTAAGGAACTGAGCTCACTTCATCTCCAGGCAAGCTTGCCATAGATGCAGATTGAAGGTGATGATCACTTCAAGCCCATTTTTCGGTGTCCCTTAGAGTGCCCTTTTGGTCAAAAGGTCATCTGTGGTGATGGTCCTAAACATGGACGCGCCCTGTCGAGAACCGTATCCGGGCTACGGAGCACCCTTGCTACTAAAATCAATGTCGACAAGCGGCAGCGGCCCCTCTAAACGCGTTAAAGCTTCAATGGTTGAAGGACGGGGTTGCTCACGAGTTATTAGTAGTCCAAACAAACATAAAGTCAAACAAATAATAAGTCAAACAAACACTAAACTCGGAGCATTCATGCCCCCGAAAAGCGCTCTTCTCTCCAAGTCTCGGAACGGTGAAGTCAAAGCATGTCCGCGCCTTGCTTCAAGATGCCTTCCAGGTTGACAGGAGGGGCCTCGCGCAAAGAATAAGAGAAATCATAACTACGTGGGCAGCTCGGGGCGACACTGGCCCTTGCACAGAATGCGACCAATTAGCGGCACATCACTCCTTGCGCCAGAGCCAACAAACCGAGCCAAAAGATGAAAGGCGAACCCATGCTCCAAGAGCACAAAGTGAACAAAGAGCCACTGAAAGAGCAGTCAGTTGAGGCAGTGGCACACCATCCTGACTAAAATCATGGGACCCTCGAAAAGCGTACCCCCCCCAACAAACCTTGTTGGATGAAGCCACGAGTCTGGATCCAGACTCTGGGATACCACCATGTCCAACCTCACGTGTATTTCTCTTCTGCCCTTAGGAAACAATCGCGATTTCTGAGTATCCAAGGTGATGTCAGCCAAGTGCTACGCCGAACGTGGGCATGGGTTCGTCTCCCAAGTGAAATTGGACCCCCCTAGTAGGGTCAACAGAATTTCCCACCCAAACGTGACACCATTCAAGGGAAGCGCCGTTTTCAATAGCCATGAAACTGCTATATTTGATCCTTTCACAAGGGGCCCTGCCTCAACATGCGCCCCTTCTCCCTGAACTCTCAGGACAGCAACTCCCAACAATCACCAGGGGAAATACCCGGCAAATAAGTTTTCCCAGTCTTACCAACGAACTGAACAGGGCCCATCGGTGGCGATCTGCACTCGAACGTTGCTCCCTAATGTTAACCCCGGATTAATAAACCCCTGGTTAATTAATAGGGGGGTGTCCCCTTTTAGTGGGGATTCATCACTTTTGGAGGGAACCCCCCGTAATAGTAGGACGGGTTATTTTAATCCTGGGTCAACATTATGCTCAGCTTGTCTTCCCCAAAAAGGCAATCTCGCTTGCCTTTTTGGATCCGGATTTCCCCTCGCCTCGCCATGAGTCCGCCAAAGCTCAGCCATGCTCCGCATTAGCTGCCATGCCTCACAAAAATCAACAGATCGGGGCCAAGCTATCGGTGGCTGGTATCCGGTTGTTTTGCCTTTCAGCGGAGCCAGGGTTAGGGCTTGATTGTGTAAACAAAAACTTACCCTGACACTGATCCCCCGCAAGTCGGATATCAAAAGAAGTGGGGCTAAGAACCCACATAGTGTTTTCCCTTGCACGAGCAAAATATGCGGAAGGGTTTCTGTATCAAAAGAAGGAGGTACGCCCTCTGCATTTCATACGGGGGGGAGGGGGGGAGGCGGGGGGAAGGGGAGATCAAACCGATCAAGTGCTTTCAAGGTAGCCCCTACTTAGCAGTCCCCGCATGATACATGAGCATAAATATAGCTGCATCCCCTGGTAGAATGATCCGACAAAGAGGCCTACGCATAGTACCCACTAAGAAGGACAGCCTTGTACTTCTATTGTAACAAAACGTGGTTCATCTCAACGTGCCCCAGGGCACGCGGGCTTGGATCCCCTTCATTCAGCGCCGGTTAGTAATGATTCAGCCCAAGCGGGATCTGGAGAATACGCAACACATCCATCGCCTTGTGTGGGGTCGCTCACAAAGAGTGATGCCTAGAAGGCAAATATCACTAACACGACACATAAACGCATAAATGGCACATTCTCCGCAGAATGCCTTCCTCAAACCTTGGGCGAGCATGCTCGGTGTGGTTTCCTTTGAGCGAAATTCAGCATCCTGGGCTATCTAGCTCCCAAGAGTTGACAAACAGCCTGACTGTGAAGGTTGAGAGATCGGGGGTCTTAATCAGGAAAGGATACATATATACTAAAGAGGGACAGGCCCCATGAATCAACCAGGGGTTTGTTCGGGTGTTTTGGCCAGTCCAAACAGCCTAAAAACCCTTGTATATAGTGGGTTTGCCGGGCCAGCTCGTCCTAGACAAATTGCAACGATCTCAAACGAGCTTATAATGGAGATCCCTCGCCTGGTGTTTCCTTTCTTGACATGTATTTTTCGTGCTGGGACCCGAAATGAAAACCCAGCCACCCAGTCACCCACCTGCCAAATAGACTGGGTCCAGCAAGGTGACAGTCTCCAAAGTAAACTCTAAATTGTGGAAAGGGAAGCCACCCCAAGAAAGTCATTTATGAGAAGCCCTCCACATGCTCACTTCAAGGGACTCAGACGCCCAGTCCCAAAATCACACGCTCGCCTGCTCACGCCCTCTGGCTTGACCAAGCGCTGCTGCCACTGTACCGACCTCCGGTGAAACCATCGCAACCACTGCGCCGTGGGCAAGAAACCAACTTGAGCAGATTTCGGTTGGAGCTGCTTCAGGAAACATGCGCAAAAGCCCGACACCTTTTGTGGATTAGTCCCGTGCTGAAACATTCCTGAGGTTGCTTCCCTTGCTGGGGCAAAACAACAGCAACACAGGCATGCCCCAGTTCAGTGACCTCGGGGTCAACAAAAGGAGAACAAGGTGCCACTGAACAAGCGGGTCAAGGATCTACGCCTGCCGGGCTCCGTTTGGCACGCAGCACAGGATATGTCCCAAGGCTCGCTTGTCCCGGCTATCAACTACGAATGCAAACATGGACGTGTGTGTTTGGTACCCCTTTCAAGGTTAAAGTCAATGGAATCCGGGAAGCCGAAAGGCAAAAGCACAACTTGCTGGGCCCTTTGACACATACCCACATAAAGCCTCAAACTTAGAAACGTACACATTAAGAAAAGCTAAGACCAAAGTCTCCACGGAACCGGGTCCAACCCCTAGGCTAGCTGTTTCTGGCCACGCCGGCAGATCCCCGGGCCATGTGCGTCTGCTGCTTGCTGCACCAGTCATTGGGAATTCCCAGTTTTTACACGTGGCTATGATTTCTACTTGGGGGCCCTGCGAGGACATCATTCACCTTGGGATGCATGTCCACCACGTTTGCGGGTTTGCCTAAGACTCATCATAGTCACTTGTTCTTCCACTATGGGACTTCCAACCGGAAAAAAAGAGAGGAAGAAACACAACTTAACAAGAACAATCACTACACAAGGAACAAGCCGTCGAGTTGAAATACTGGGATCCCTGTGCAAGAGGGATTCATGTGTATATGTATATATATATATATATGCAGACAAGTATATACATGATTGGAATTGCCCTCAAATGAAGCGCCTTTCCACAGATGGATCTTAAGCCCCCGAAATGGGCTTCGGAATCCCCGTTGCGCTGCACCATCCAACAGGGGGGCTCTTCCGCATGCTACGAAAAAGAGGATCCGCAGAAAAGATTCCTCTCGAATCATGCTTTCGCCGGGCTCCAAGTTTGATAAACACAAAGTGTCTGGTCTGGGGTTTTTTACTCGACCCAACCTGGGCTTTGAGCACGGAATCAGGGTAAAATGGAGGCCAAAACACAGGTTCCCGGTTCCCCTTTTGGGGTTCGACTCATTTTTGGGGCAAGCGTCAAAGCACCAAACGCGGCACAGGGCGGGGCCTCGACGGCGCCGGGGGTGATCTGGGCCTCTTGCATCCTCTGGAGGCACCCCAGCGCCGCTTCCTTTGGCGGGAGGGGGCCCCCCCCTCTGGGGCCTGGGGCCCTGGTAGGTCGAGCCAGGCTAAAGTCTTCAACCTCCACGCCACAGATTTGGGCCAGGGAGGAGCTGGGGATTGCGTGGGTTCATAACAAGGGGGTGGACGCTTCTGACAGACTGGCAGGTTTTGGTTGATTGGATTGGGTCCGGTTGATGAACTGTTGGCAGTTTTTGGTTGGTTGGATGAACCTCACTTGCAACATCTTGAAACCAAAGGACCTGGAAGCAAGCTTCGGGGATCTAAACTACCCAAAACTACAAAGCCAGAAGGTCAACTCGACTTAGGGCTATGCGCAAAGCCATGGCGAAGGGAATCCCGCACCGGGCTTTGGGCTTGTATTCTCATTCCATTTGCCGACTCGCAACCAAGGGAACATGTAGACATGTAACCTGGGTGAATGACAATGCAGCAACCGAAAACAAGAGATTGCCATGGCAAAGAACAATGCCTCTATCAGTTTTGTTGAAGAAAATCGAATGTGAGCGACACGCCCGCATCTCCATGTGGACAAAGGTAGGGATGGAAAAGGGGCAACATGCGCCGGGCGACAAAGCGTTTTCACCATACACTTGAGTTTGTTAAGGACACGCACTCAGCGAAATGTTTGTTTTCCCCGTGTTCCAAAAACAAAAACGGGCCAAATCAAAACAAACGACCCCCATGCTCACCTGCGGGGGCAACAGCCATGTCATAGCCTTCCAGCTTAGGAAATGCGTGGCCCGATGCTCGTGGCGAATGCGGGGAAGAAACAGAAAGCAAACTGCGAACCCCTCTGAAAAGGTTGGGAAAATGTGTCTTTTGTGGTTCCACCGGCGCAAAAAACCAACCCAGGGACTAACAAAACGCTCGGCTTGGAATAGAACGCTCCGCGGCTTGTGGCTTCCACAAAGGAAGAAAGACGCCTCGCTGCCACCTCTCCCAAACAAAATCAACAAGAAGGCAAACCCGCCGCGCCTTTCTCGCAAAGAGCAAACAAAGCAAACAAATAACGCAGGAAACCAGCCAATCCGCAAACAAGCAAGCAACAAAGGCCAAGCAGGAAACAGACAGGAAGCAAACAAACCCTGCTGGGAAACAACAACAACAACAACAACAACAACAACAACAACAACAACAACAACAACAACAACAACAACAACAACAACAACAACAACAACAACAACAACAACAACAACAACAACAACAACAACAACAACAACAACCCTGGGAAACAAGTGAGCTACTACATGCAGAAACAGCGGGAAACAAGCAACACCGGGGAAAGAAGAAACAACATCAAACAAATGCCCAGCGAAAACAAGCAACACCAGGGTGAACAAACCAAAGAACCAAACGGAAGGCAGGAGAACAGCCCAACAGCGGGAAAACAATACCCAAACCAAGGGCACCACATGCACACATGCCCGTTACAAAGCGACAACTAGATGCCGCCAAGGCGCATTTTAAGCTTCCCTCCAATTGGTGGTTTGGATTTGGTGGTTCAGGTTAGGGGTGGTGTCCCATTTCCCCCCTACAAGAGCCAGGGTTTGAATTCCTCAAACCACCAATCCAAACCTCCAATTTGGGGGTACCCTGACTTTTGCCCCTCAGTCAACTAGGGAAAACAAGAGCAACTAAGTCCGTAGATAAGCATAAACGGCCTAAACCATCAGGAAACCAAGCCCTCCCTCTCCCCCCCAAAAAAAAAGAAGAAGAAAAGAACGACTTGACTTTTTTTTGCTAACACCAGCAAAGAAGTGCCCCGTTCCCCCGTGAAAAAAAAAAACAAACGCCACGGCAGGCGCCGCAGTGCCGCCACGGCGCCCAGGCGGAGGCCTTGGCACAGGCAGCGACCAGCGCACCACAGGCCACCTTCTTCGGGACCTGCGGTTGGAGAGGGAAACGCAGCGAACGGAGTGAGGGAGTGAATTTCTCGGAAGATATATGTGTTAGTTGGGGTACCCTTTTCTGGGAAACTGAAAGGAAGCCCGGTGCCATTTTAGGGGCGGAGAACATAGCCCATCTAGATTTCGGAAGGGAATCGGGGACTCAGGATCTGGTAAACCCAAGCTGAAGCTTAGTTGTGAGCACAGCTGGGCCAAAGCCTCAAAAGCAACGCCTTGATAATCCCTGCGATCTCGCCGGAAACACGCGCCAAAATGCTTTAGCTCCTCTTCTTTCAGGTCCCCTACTTGGGGAATTGTCATGAGAATCCAGTGGGTTCCATAAACCTCTGAAATGAACCCCGGAGAAGATCCTTCGTGCTAAGGCCGAGCAATCAGGGTTTACATGGACATCAACCTCCGATCGGTTCTAAAAAAGGGTCAGTTCATTGCCGGGGGGATCAGTTCATTTCAGGGGGATCCCTCTGACTATCATAGTCCTCTGAAATAATCGGCTTACGACAATGGAGCGTTTGGCCGTTTCACCTTTGGAACCAAAGTGGTCATTTTCAGACACGCTCGGTTGATACCCAGGTCTACCTGCAGGCGGCTGGCCAACTCAAAGTTGGGCGAATGTGCGGCAGCTGAGCGTTCCTATGTCCCGTTCCAACAAAGGCCGGTCAACCTTGTGGATCTCATTGAACCACTCATTTGCTGTGGAAAGAGGACCTCCTGGGCCATCCATTCCTAGAGTTCTTGGTCAAAGGTGCTGGCGCCCCACTGCGGCGCGCACATGCACAGATCTTGAGTATGTGTCCTCAGTGTTCAAACCCCGGCACTGAACACGCTGTGCGGCGTTCTAAGTGACTAAGTCTCGTTCTGAGACATCTCCAAACATCTGAACAGGCATGTCGGAACCAAGCAGGCAGCTGAATCCATCGATGCAAAGCTGAAACCGGAAAGTGCCCAAGGCGCCCGCCGGTCTCCGAGCGGAGCCGATCCGATCCGCCTGTAAGACGTGCAGGGCCTTGGGCCAGCACAAGGAGCTCACCGCCGAGCTCTCGCAGAAGTGGTTGGGCTCCACCTGCCGAACATACTTACTCCATATGGCCATAGGTCAAAACTCCGAACCAGTGAACATCCGAATCCCCACTAAAATAACAATAAAATGGGTTTTAATAAGGGAGTAGTGGACACCGTTTAGGTGGGGATTTATGTCCACCAACCACTTTGGAGGTGGCTCTACATTCAAATCCACGCCATATTTGTTTATACTTGGCTCATGTTCAAACGTTTGATACTCTGTACTGCTCACTGTGGATTGGCGATGGCCTACCCGCTTCCAAGACAAGATTTATTCCTCACTACTGATGGTCATCAGTGTATGATGTTGGTTGATTAAGATCATGTCAATGTTCTTCATGATGGTTCGTGATGCATTGTACATACTAAACTATACAATTACTAGCGGTTCAAGATAAACCAACCTGCCAGCAACACACCATGCTGTTCTCCTTTGTATAGTATCCGTAACGAAAAGTACAGATCAATCTCACTTATGGGCGGCGCTCCTTCTTAGCAATGGGTTTGGCTTGAGACGACCCCCTAAACAGGTACCGCTTCCCGGGGACAAGCCAAAGCACAAGCCACCAATGGGTGGGAAGGTGCGTCCCCGCTAGCCTGGCCACTAAGCACATGGGGTACAAGCCCAGTAGTGACTAGAGGCCATCAGGGACCAATACCTTCCCTTATGACTCTGAACCAGTCGGCGATAGACTGCCACACATATCTGCTCAATATCATGGAATCATTCCAGGACCTGAAATCTTGGATCGGTAGCATCGTTTTAGGCCCAGGTGCGCTTCACATTTTCAGAGGAAAACAACCCTTTCTATAACTAATTATGATGCCAAGGTTGTTCCTTACTGTTACATAACTTTCAAGGGGGGCCGTTGGTATCACAAAAAGTGGCCCAAAACATGCCTTCCCACAACCACCGTGGCCGCCAAGGTTGCTTTTGCTGCCGCGTTTGTCGGTCGCTGGGGTCTGGCCATTGCGGTCGGCCAACTGGCCGAGCTCGACCGCAGCAGAGGAGTGGAGGAGTGACCCCGAAATTTCAGGCCCATTGAGGCTCGGGTGCTTAAAAAGGGAATCTTTCTCCATTCCCTCCTGATGTCCTCCAAGAGAACTTCACAATTTTTGGGGCCTAGCCTGGAGTTCCACCCTTTGGAAATGATTAAATCGGTGTCCTCATCGAAAATGAACGGACTCCATTGGTAAGCTAGACAGAAGATGAATACAACACGTAGGCCCGAAACTGTCGAAATGGGAAAGGAACCAGCGAATTTTCCCTTCGTGCGTCTCTTGATGTGTGACACGCGGCTGGGTACCTTGTGCTTGATGCGTATAGGCAAAGTGCGCTTTCGTAGCTCCAACTCGAAAGCCCCAACCAGTCAGAAGTTTGGAACCTGCCAGGTGACGGCAGAAAAGGAGCCGGAAGTCTTGAAACGCATCGGAGTATGCAACGAGGCAGGCAACACGCCACAAGCTCATGCAATTAAGGTCTGAAGCGGGGTATGCAACATAAGCTATGTAAAGCATGTCCGCCTCGTCTTGGCTACAAAACCCCCCAACGAACAACGGCGCTTCGACGAATAAGCACCAATCGGTCAACCTCCCAACCTCCCGCTGCATCCGGGTGCAAAGGCTCCACTCGAGCGCCACAAGGTCCCTGGGGCCCCCGGGCACGCAGCCCGACACGCAGGGCATCGACTTGAACAGCGCTACGGTCTTCCTGATGGTCTGGTAAGTTTGCCACATCCTTACTACTTCAGAAGCAACAGTTCACGCTGACTTGTTTGTTTTTGGGGCCTTCTCCTTCTTTCCCCCTCCCAATAAATCGCTGCGTCGAACAGACACTGTGCGCTAAAGGCAAAAGGCAAAAGGCAACAGTTCATTTTGACCGTGGCTCATTTGCGCATGACGCTTAGCCAAATGCGCATCTCTCGGCTCCTACGCGCGCGCGTAAGCTAGCGCACCTCGGAATGCTGGGGTGGTTCTCTTGATCGGTTTGCACACTTGTGGCCTTTCCACGTTCCAAGTGCCATCTTGGGGAATGGCATAGAGGAAATTGTTCGGGGATAAGCATTCCCACCACTTTTCTTCGAAGGAGGATCACCCCGGAACCCGGAGTCTGATGGCCAAGCGGGAGGACCCTGGAGACTGCCATCAGACTGAACCAGCCCTCCCGGACTGGCAGTTGCATTATGGCAAGCCCATTCGGCCTAGCTGAGATACAAAGCGACTACACAAAATCAATCCCTCACGTGAGTCTAAGTCAACGAAAGCCTTTGGTGTATACAAACGGGTATGCTCTCTGCCTGCATCTGGGTCCATGAAGGGTTGGGTGATTTTCAAAACTACACAGCTAGCCACACACGACAAGCTAGGTATTCAAGTGTTGGCTACACTCCTTTAATCTTTTGGAGGAACCTCTTTCCCAGCAAACAGCGAAGAAAGAAGCACCAGTGACTTTAGAAAATATACCAAACGTCATGTTGTCAGACTCTGCTGAATGTGTCTACCCTGTAAAAACACACACACACATACACACATTTGGGAGAAGTGCACTGCCCCACCCGGAAACCCGAGCCAATCAAATCTTTGTTGAGGGGGCTCTGGATGGCCTCGCACCAGTTAGGTGGTTTCTACCACTGTCTATGTTTCATTCATCCCCACTTTGTGCATGTACCGTATGACCTCAAAACCACCATGCATCAGAAATGTCATTCCGCCGACTCGCTTGCAGACCGAACATGTATAGGCTCCAAAGCACCTCCCTGTGATCAGCGCCCAATTTATATGCGGCAGCTTGCTCTTGGTCTTCAAAATTCGTGCCAATGGCAGTGGTCTTGCACGGGGGCCAAGGAAACGGCACCTGAAATCAAGTGAAGACTTTGCCCCCTGCCCTTGGTTGACGTTGAAAGGGGAGCAATAATTTAAATTTTAGCAGCCAAGTGGAGATTTCAATCACTAAACCACAATAAGCAAAAATGTAAAACGTTTCCCAACAACAACCGAGTGCAGCCTGCCATTCTAGACACAGAACCTGACCAACTTCCAAGCTACACAAGATTGGGCAAAGTCCAACCTGCCCTCCGCTCGAGGCTGGACATACAACAAAAACATTCATCCAAAACAAAAACCGAGCCGTTTTATGGTCGTCCACTGTAAAGGTTGATGACATTGAGGGAGGGCATTGTGTGCATGATGCTGTTCTCAGCTCCTTGGAGAGGAATGCCCAGTTGGTGCACTTCTCAGCTCCTTGGAGAGGAATGCGCAGTTCTGCGCCTCTGGCAGAACCGTGTTCGACCAAATCCCTCCAACCCCGTCAAAAGTTCATGGGGCTCCCTTGGCCCGTGTGGGTAACCAACAGTAACCCAACCAAACATGCCCGATTGCGATCGGAGCCTATTTCTTGGAGCCCATGATTCTCTCAACGCTCCCAAAGGAACTCACTTAAATCCGAAAGCAGGTGGTCATCACCCTTGGCAGCACGGCCTAGTACTTCACGGGACTCACCAAAACAGAAAAACTTTGAACCGGTTCCGCCAAAGACTGGGGCAACCATGGGTACCCGGTGGCAAAATGGGAAACCTCTCTGGGCCCACCGCGATGCCACATCTAGGCATATGCAGTTGGCAAACGGCTTGATGGGAACGGACGCAAGGGCCAGGAACAACTCACTATACAACCTAGACCTCAGCGTGTGCTTTGCAGCGCAAAAGCCTTCCAGCGCCGGCTGAATTGGAATGGAAGCGGTCCAGACTGGAATTCTCTCCGGCACAAGGTGGGGCAACATCGGCGCAAACTAGTTTCATCAATCGATGTTCGCAAACGCGAGGCGTCGGAGTTTCCCAAGAGGAGAGTGGTCGCACAAAACCTTCTCAAGCTTCCATGATTGTTGGGAAGGAGGGTAAACGGCCAAGAACCCATCAATCCAAAGAAAGGTTCTGAGAACCTGTTTGGTGGAAGGGCCTTAATGACTGGCCCTGAGTGTGATTTTTGCTTGGTGGTATTGAAGGGAATCCGGCAAGGACACCGAAGCCATTTAGTTGGGCCCCTAGAAAAACGAGCCATGTTTCAACCAAGCCCCAGCCTGGCCTGCACAGGACCTGAACTGAACGGAACTGTCAAGAGAGCGGCAATGCAATCGCCGAGTGAAGAAAAAGCGACGGGTTCAAACCTCAGGTTTTTTTCACGGTTTTGAAAGGAGAACATGAAGTCGTGGTCTAAGACTGGTCAAAACTGTGAGCAACTTGGTTGATATCCCTTGTTTTGAGCAAAAACAAGGGGACACCGCCTCTGGTTAGCGTGATCGTACTGCCAGGTCCGCCCAAAAAACTGGGGCCACTCTGTGATGGAATTCCCGCCCGGGATCTGGGATCCCGCTGGATCCCGCTGTTCGCGAGCTCTTGCAACCAACGGCCTTCGTGGTCACAAGCAAATGGCCAACTCGAGGGCCCAAACAGCCGACACGATAAGCCGACAGCTGACGCTCTTTCCAGGGGGCTGAACCCGCCCGGAAAGAACCTCGCGGGATAAGGGCTCAACGCACCATTTGGAATTGGTACCCTGACACCTTCGCCATTCGAGCAGGGCGGTTGAACCCAATCTCTTGGCATTTCAGCTTAACCCACCCGGCGAAAAGGGCAACTGACAAACATCTCCAGTCGAATCAGAGCCAGTTCAAGGGTATTCGAGAAGGGTTTGCTTGTTTGAGAAGGATCACATGTCTCACCTTGAGCATGGCAGCCTTGATGTGGGCACCCTCATGACCACAAACCTGTCATATCTGATCCTTCCAAAACATATAACAACCTGCAAACCAGGACTGATTGAGCCACCTCTGGTTGGTGTCCCTTTAAATTCAAGGAGACGTTTCAGTCCACAAAGCCTCGCCCTCAGCCACTCCTGGTCTCGTAAACGGCGAAGGGTTGCTTTGCACATGTCGAAGTGCTGGGAGGTACGGCGCCGGACAGTGGAAGCATGTTTTTCACAGGGCGGTTGGTCTCCATCTCCTGT